AGCTTCGATTTGAAGCTAAAATATAAAATATTTTTCATAATAAAGTATATCATATTAGCTTAAATTTAAGATATATATAAAAGTGTCAGTATTTCCGGAACACTCTCAAAAGTTCAGTTGAAAAAGTTAATTTTTTATAAAAAAGTTGATTGCTATATTTGTGTTAATATTCTCGATTTCATATTTTACATTTTTAACTTCATATTTCTATAACTTTTTGAAAAATATTTGGATTTTATGAGAAATACTATTTATATACTTCTTTCATTCGACATACTTTTTTTTAAATCGGATCATTTCTCTTTATAAAGGGCTTTCAAAACTTAAAATAGAAAGTAGAATTTTTTCTACTTATTTTTAATTAAAATATATTTATTTATTATTCATAAGTAACCTAATAATCAAACATAAATATTTCTTACATTAATTAGAAGTATTTTGTTATTATTTAGGCCATATGCGAAACTCTAATTGCAGAAATCTGAGCAAAAATGGGTTTAGAAAAGTATATTTTAGTCTCGGATGAAAAGTCCTTGTAGGCCAGTAAAATAATTTATAGATAACATAAAATTTCTTTTTTTAAGACCTTCAACTTTTATATTTGTTAGTCATAAAAGTAATAACTAAATTTTTACTTGACACAATCTTCAACATCATTTACGCACACATAAACCGTCCTCATATCACATTCAATGACATCCCTCCATCTCTTTATGGTATTCCTCTACCTCTTCTTCCTTCAACATTCATTTCCATAACTGTTCTTATAGCATCTTATTCCTCTCTCTTCATAACCAACTAAGTCTATTTTCTCTCATTTTATCCACGGTTAACGCTACATCTATACTCCCTCTTATATGCACGTTCCTTATCGTATCTTCTCTAGTCACTCCACTCATCTATCTAAGCATTCTCATCTCTGCTGTACTCATTCTCTGCTCTATTTCGTATCAACCAACCAACACTCTGAACCATACATCATAGCTGTTCTCATTACAGTTTTATAGAGTTTATCTTTCAGCCTCATTGGAATTTTTTTATCGCATAAGACACTAGACGCTTCTTTCCACTTCAACCACCCGCACTAAATTCTGTGTTTTAAATCCTCATCAATAGCAGAGATCTTTTGTACAATTGATCCTAAACACTTAAAACTTTCTATCTGTCCTATCACTTATTATTAATCCCTTTTCTTCAAGAGCTGATCTCCACACCTCTAGACTTTGATTAATTTCATCCTTATTTTCTCCTATTAACACTATATCGTCAGCAAACAATATGCACCACGGCATCTCTCCTTGTATTTCTCTAGTAATTTCATCCATCACTTTAGAGAATAAGTAAGGGCTAAAAGCAGAACCTTGGTGTACTCCTACTCTTACCCGAAAACCTTCTGTTACTCCTCCTACGCTTTTTACCCTGGTACAAGTTCCAATNTAAAACCAGAACCTTGGTGTACTCCTACTCTTACCCGAAAACCTTCTGTTACTCCTCCTACGCTTTTTACCCTGGTACAAGTTCCAATACATATCCTTTATTATATTAATGTACCTTTTCAGGACTCTTTTTGTCATGAATGCCCACTTTAAAACCTCTCTCGGTATTCTATAATACGCTTTCTCCAAATCTATAAGTACTATACACAGCTTTTTCTTCTTTTCCCTATACTTTTCTATTACTCGCCTCGCAAAAAATAATGACTCCATTGTTGACTTACCAGGCATAATTTCAAACTGGTTTTTAGTTACCGATGTCACATTTCTTATTCTCTTATATATTACTTTACCTTTAAATATCGACACCACAATACTATCCCTATACATAATATTTTGTTAAATATTAAATTATATGAAATTAATTATTATTCTTTTATATTTTACCTCGATGATGTTAATAATTAAAAAACATTCAATGCTTATAAAGACTATAAATTTATTATTTATAAAGTAATCTATTTGGTATTGAAATTTTTGTAGGGAAAGAATAATGTGTTTATTATGTATTTCTCAATACTTAATACTCATAAAGATAACTTACGTAGCCTCTGGAAAAAGTAGTAATTTTTAAGATAGGATGTTAAAACATAAAAATTATTAAATATATAATTATTTAACTTTTTTTTTAGAAAGATTCACTGGTATTTGGAGTTTATAACTCGAATTGGACAGAAATGAACTTAGAAAGTAAAAAGCTCGTTTTACTAACTATGAAAATGAATAATGCTCATCAATCAAAAATGAAAATAACTAGATATAAAACCATCGACTTAACTATGTTTATAGCTGTATGTTATAAAAATCATTAAATTTTTAAAGACTTTTAACATTATTATTATATAAATTTCAGGCTTTAAAAATGTGTTATTCGGTATTTTCAGTATTAAGGAATACACAACTAAGCAATAACCAAATTTAAATAATGGATACAATATATTAAAAATGGAATAAATATAAATGAAAATTTAAACTTATAAAAAAGCTAGTTAATTCTTATGTAGCAGTCGATATGTGAGCACAATTTATATTTTCTCTTATTTCTTTTGTAAATAAATCAGTAAATTTTTGTTTAAGTTTATACAAATAATAATCGTCTGTGCATTAATAATTCAAAGATGCTACTTAAAATCATGTAGGAGCTAAGAGGTAAACATATTATATTATTTCTGTATTAATAACGGAGCGGTAACAACAAGGCGTCTTTCAACAGTCACTCATCTTAGTTGCCTACTCCTTTAGTATAGCGATACCACAAAAAAACAAGCTGACATCGGTTGATACTATTACCTTATCTCACACAATAAATAACTCAAATAAACTCCCTTATCCAAACAACTGTAACATATTATTTCACATATTAAAATTGTTCAATCTAGATATCCAATCATAAATTTTATGCAGTTCTAAACGTGTTTTACCACCAAGTCATTTAACAAAATCTAAAAAACCCAAATTGACAACAAACATTTTCATCGCGTCTAATCGTTACGAGGCTATTCAGGATATGTTAATGACAGTCAAATGATTTCTGAATATTCGAATGAATAACTAACTCCTCTCCTCAAAAATTTATACATTGAAACGTGTTAGGATAGATAAGTTTTCAGTTTGTTTTACATATCAAATTGACTATCTGAAAAATCAATTTTGATTTTGATCATTTAAAACAATATCATTTAGCAAACTTAAATCATTCTCGTTCTCAATGGAAATATATAATTGTGTATTTGTAAGGGGATATACTTCTATATCGAGTAACTTTAATTGGCGAAACAATCAATAAAATGGTCAATGAAATCTAAAATCATTTTTTTGGTCATGGTTTATACAATAACATGTTACCAAAAAATATAGAATACTATAGAATGGTTCTAGAACACACGAATAGAGGTAAAAAGTTATTAAATAAGTAACATTATTCAACTTTGTAATTAAAATCTATTATTGTATCAAACCTATTTCGACAATATATGCATTAAAAACATTAGATATAAATGTAACATTAGCTTTAATTTGATATATGTTAAGAACACGGAATACTTCCAAAACATTTTCAAAAGTTCTACTTTTTATTCGTATTTTTCAAGTTTTGTATCTCCTCAGTATAAAGGGAAATAGCATAATTAAAAAAAAAAAGTATGTCGAATGAAAGGGGTATACATATATTTTTCAACAAATTATAGCAATTTAAAATTGAAAAAATAAAATATGGCTTCGAAAATTATAACACAGTAGTAGCATAATTGTTTAACTACATTACCTAATTGCACTTAGAGATAAACTGTCGGGACAAAAATTTTATTTTTGAACTTATAGTACTTATAGAAAGATTCTACTATTGAAATATGCAGAACTGAATTAATTTTAATGATTTACTTTAACTAAAAAACCAATAAAAAAAAAGTTGTTAAAAAGATTGTTGCGGTAAAAGTAGGTGATGAATAAAATAAATAATGCTAGTTGGTTTTCCAAGTGGCGTCGAGCCGTTTAATGAAAATAAAAACAAGAATTGTAACACAAAAGATTATATGCGAACCAATAGTAACAATAATAATACTAAAAATCCGTCGACAAAATAACAAGGAAAAAGACCGAAATTACGGTAGCGATTTGGTTGGGTTCACGGACGTTGTAACCAGTGGTGTAGTCCTAAAAATGTTTATGGGTATACGCCTATATTATGAATAGATAATAACGTGGGGGGCGGAGCCCCCCACACTCCCCATTGCACTTTATATTTTCTACATACAATATTTCACAATTATTTTGTTGAACTTTTAACTTTATACATTATTAACAGTGATATAGTCGTAATTTGATCAATAGATAAGTTAAAAACCTAAATGAGGAAACGTGGGGAATTCCACCCCCACACTACTTTTCAAAGGCCTTAACTATAACATAGTTTTGGGGGACGAAATACAAATATTGTGATGTTTTAACTGTGTTAAAAATATGTATTTTCTAATTATTACATAATGCAACTAAAACTCCTAACCCTCCCAGATACGGCCTTGATCCTTCCAACTTCCAAACTATTACTCGAATATTTTTACTGACACTTCTAAGTTCTTACATAAATTAAATTTCATAGTCATATAATCGATAAGTGTATTATTAGATACTGTTATATTTTTTATAAATAAACAATAAACTTTATGCAGTAATAAAATAATCTTACAATCATTGTTTTCAAATCGTTAAAACATAAATGAAATAAACGTGAATGGATACATGTTAGCACTATCTTAATTCATTATAGGTCATATATTAAATACTAGATTGGTTGGTAAACGGTTTATTACGGAAAAATACAAATTACCAATTTCAACAGCTATAGGTTAACCCAATAACTTTCAGTTTCAACTTAGTATGTGCTATATCGTTAATTTCTGGTCGATGATTTAAATTTTGTCAAATGTCAATAAAATTGTCGTGAAATGATAAACATTATCCTATTTATTTTATTGATATTGATTTATACACTTTGACAGTGTTTTGTTTTACATTTATATTCTATTTTTAAAATGATAATAGTCTCGAGCCATATTTGTGTTTATAACTTCAGACATATGTTTATATGTGGTATGACTGTAGAGATTAAACAAACTGATAAGAGTTATTCAAAATTTGTGTTTTATGACAAACATACCTATATTCGATACCCACGTATTACTTTTTATTTTATTCTTTAGTCTATACTCTTTAACTATTTTATAAATACGTATATACACTAATAAGAAAACTAACAGTGGGTATACGTCGTATACCCGCGTATCACTCATGATTTTATAAGTATACGCATTAACAGAAAAACAAAGAAGTGGGTATACCCGCGTATACGCTCCACGACACCTCTGGTTGTAACCAAAGAGATAGGTGTCACGAAGATGACCGTATTCAATCGTAGTCACTACTCACTCGAGAGTAGTTGATCGCGCATTGGTGAAAAATGGACGATTTGGACATAGCGTTATTAGTATGTTTGGATGATGAAGAGTCATCAGAAGACGAAAACAATCGTTTGGAGGAGAGTGTTATGTTCAAAAATCGTGAAACTGAGGGTTGGGTTGATGTTGCTTTTGGAATAATCCACCAATTGCCTACTTTAAAAAAAAAAAAAATTGGTTGGGAATTTTTTCTGCTATTCTCCAAAATTACTCCTTCGTTGACTAGAATGAATCATTAAATAGAAAATTTTATGACAATTAAAAAAATTGTATAGTTAAGATCAATATACAGTCAGAAAGTTTTATAATTACTATTTATTGTAAATTTATCAGAAAAGCTCTATATTGTTTTGCATTTTTATGGTAATAGATAACTTAAATAGGAGTAATAGTGTTAATTAAGCTATAGTTTTGACAAAATCAATTAATTGTTCATCATTTTCGCTCGTCCAAATCACGTTTCCACTCATTGTATAATTTAAAAATGCACACCGCTACACGGGAAAAACGTTAAACTTTTGTTTATCACCGCTATGACGGCCGTCATGCAACTGACAGCACCGCTATTTGACGTTACGGTGACACTCAACGTACTCTAGGAAACCTACTCCGATGTTATTTATAGAAAACGTCACCCAACGCTATATTACGGCCGCTAGATAACGGCACCGCTTTTCTAGGAAACCATAAACGGTCCGGTTTACAGTGAAGCGGTAGCTGTGTGGTGAACTGGGTTTCTAAGTCCAGTTTCAGCCAGTCGGAAGAGTACCAATAGGAAGAGTCAAAGTAAAAATACAGTGTAACATTCACTATGAGTACTGATCAATTTATTTGTGTTCATGTCCCTTTTTATATTTTAAGAAACATGATTAATTACGAATTAATACAAGGTTAAGACAACATTTAAAGTAAACAAAACACCATTAAAATATAATCTTTAAAATCTAATTTAAAAGACTATTAAGTATTGCTACATATTTCAAGATGCCGTTCACGACAGCTGAGAAGGAGCTGATACGACCGCGGGGTGTCAACGTGTGACAACGCCGTGGCCGTGTCAAGATCTACTTAATTGAGTGAATTATAAAATTTGATTATATTTATAAAAATCCATTTTTAAATTAAGGTGAAACTAAATATCATTTTTTTTTTTATATTTATAATTTATATAGCGACATGTTACAAAAAAAATTAAAATTTTAAAGACTGGTAGTAGCATACACAAATAGAGTTAAAAAATTAATAAATTACAAAGTAAAATTTTTTTCTTTTGTAGTTGAATACTTTTATCATATCAAATCTAATTCGACAATAAATTCTTTAAAAATATTATAAATGAATGATTTTAATTGTTTGTACGCATAAAGCTGTTTAAGCTACTTTTCATTTAATTAAGGGATTTTTTTTTCAATTTTTAAGGGTAATATCTTCAACTAAATACGAATTGTAATTATTTGACATATCGTTGAAAAAAGTATGTCAAGTGAGGATTGGAAAAATATATCGCAGTCTCAAAAAAACCACATAATAAAATAATATTAATATGAATAATTCTCACGAGGGGAGACTAGACTGATGGAATTCTTGATATTTATTGAATCAAAATGAGATAAAAATAGATCAAATGATTTGAAAATTTTTTCTAACTCAAAAAGATGCAGAATATTAACAGCCACAGGTGGAATCGAACCTGCTACCCTAAGCGTGAAAGTCAAGTGTTACAGATTCAGCAACTGTTCGTAGCTTTCGTTGATTGATAAAATTGGCCATTTAAGTTAACCCATCAACGCCGAGAATTATTTTTTTTCAAACTTTTTTACTAAAAACAGATTAATATACAACACAAAAATAAAAAAAATTATTTTTAAATTTTTTGAAAATACGATTTCTGAGATATTGAGTGTCACCATATGGGTACACTCGGCTTTTACCTATTAAATTATTATTCTAAGAACGCGCGATAAAAATAGCAATACGAATGTCACCATATGGGGACGCCAGGCGTTGATGGGTTAATTTAAATTTTCGACTTTAAAAAAGCAAAAAAATTTAAATAAGTTTTACTTCTTATGTCTTATGAACTTTATTCTATGTCAATTAAATTATATAATAATCATGAAAGTCAGTGTATACCCCTTGTAAGATATTTTAAAATAAAACAAATTACAAAACCCAGAATTTTCTTATCTTATTTAGGTGTTAATGTCATATCGTAATACGAGTCTTTTCATTTCTTATAGATTAAGAAATAATATCAAAGAATATTCTTTTTCATACTGATAATTTTTTATTATTGAAATTAAACCTTATTATTCAATATAGTAGTAAATGTTTTATCATGGAAAATAAATTAAACTAAATCAGTATTAGTTGTTAAAAGTCAAATGGTTTTTCTTACACATAAATATGTACCTTAATAAACATTTTATTTACACAATTATTTTAATTATTACTCTCTATCTGAGAGTGGAATGTTCCCTGATCGACATCGATCGTAGTGAACTGCTAGATTCTTATAAAATGTCTAAAAAAAATGTGTTATCCACTTTGAAACATCGACGTTTCATATCATACTTCGCAGTAGGAATAGGACGAGTCCTCTCAGGTATAGTCATAATATTCAAAAAATCATATGTAATGTTATTTATAAATTTTCAACTCAGGGTTTCATTACAAAGCAACACCGCGAAAAGTAATTTTATGCGAAGATTATGAATGCTACAGAGGTTACTGTGTATCACGCTGTGGATTTATATACGGCAGAGCAAAATGGTGTTACATGACTCAAGATGACCCAAAACCAAATCGTATAATAAACAATTATGTGCCTTGTGTGTCTTCCAAAGAATGCACTGGATGTTGGGAATGTGCCGGTTCTTGTACTGACGGTTGGGATTTACCAGAACGTTACTACTAATTGAAAAAAAAAAAAGTTTTCAGAAAAAATATATAAAAAACAGCGAAATATTCATAATTTAGTAATATATTCACTTGATATTGGTAAATACACTTTTATTAAATTTAAATATAAAGCGTTTTATTAATACTAGACTTGAATTTCTTATTTTTCGTTTTAAAAATATTCACTATATGTGATAATCTTATTAGAAATTAAAGGATTTAAGTCGTAATGAACGTGATTAAATCTCAATTAGTTGAGTGGAGTGTATTAATTCTACTATCTTAACTTTAATAATATATTTTAGCGACTTTTAAAAAAAAAGTTGAAGCATTTTCTTCAAGGTGCGTAGCCATAATTATTTATTTATTAGAGATGAAGAAGTTTAACCTTAGCTAGTGTCATGCACAGAAATATTAAACGAAGGTGGATATTATCAAAGTATGTTACTCTTACGACCTTTTTTGTTAGTCATTAATTTTTTTTCGTGCTTACTATGTAAGCAGCTGGTATTAATATTTTAGTAAAATTATTTTGGATATCATTTTAAAAGATTGCTAAATCGGGGTTTTTACATTTTAAACAGGTTTTTCGACAACCCTATTGTTGATATTATATTTATATAAAATTACAAATAACAACTTTTTGTTAAAACGTTGTATTTAAAAAAAAAAAATAAATATAAAAATAAAAAGACTTAATGGAAAATCTTTCAGGCCTATCTACTATGTAAAATATACACTGTATATTATACAGTTTTATTTATTTATAATATTGATAACGTAGCGATATCCACAAAAAAAAAACAAACTTTAGTTTAGATCACGAATAATGCAAAATAAACTGATCACGACATGGTCGGCGAAAACGACAAGTACACTCCGGTTTTGTTAGAGAAAATCTGTAGAAGTTGAGAATATTCGTCGAACTGTGAGCTCTAGCGACCAACACGTGTTCGGAATACAACATTTTGAAAACCGAGTGGGGAATTGGAAAATAAATATAAAATATTAGCAGCGCCGTTACTTCAAAATTCCCCTTTCTTTTTTAGAATTGTGTATCCAAACCGGTCTCGTGTCCATTTTATCTTAGTTCGTGGTTTAAATAACTAGTCTCGCTACGGGTTTGCATCGCAATCTAGGGAAGGTGGCAAAAGCGGATTGCAAAGGATGACACGTTGCCTCGGTGAGATACCGTTTCGGCACGACGTTGCGTCGGACGTTCGACGTATTTGTGGTCGTGTTGACGCGAGGACGTGACGGTTCGTCATGAAACTCAAATAAACGGATACCGCTATCTGTCGGTAAAAAAGCGCACCAATCGGAATGTAAATAATATGAAAATTACAATATATATTAATAGCAGGATATTCGATACCAACCGTCACTAGCATTAAAAGAATATTTACTCTCCTCTATAAACCAATTTTCACCTCATTATGAATCGGAGTCATACAAAATAGTGAATACTTTGTATTGTACTAAACTGTTATGAAAAATACGATTGTTGATAAAATTACTTGTGTTCGTAAATAGGAAGAACAAGTATTTTATACGTTCGATAAGAATTTAATGTTGTTATGCTCCACAGTAAATATAAATAATTCAAATGGTGAACATAATGAATTCAGTGACTCCTGTTGTTTACATATCATTACTTAATAACACTCAAGTTTTCCATACAAACTTACACGAAAGTATACTTAATATATAACCTTTCGAAAAGATTAATGAGTTTCGGTACCTAGGTGCAGTTTTGAGTTATAACATTGATTGGGCTAGGGAGATAGGTTCAAGGATAACAAAAGCAGGAAGAGCAATTTTTGCTCTAAATAAGTTCTTAAAGTCAATAGTATTTTCCAAAAAACTTATTCGATAATACAGCAATAATAAGACCCACACTCATATAGGAGTGCGAGACGCGGATTACCATAAGTAATACGGAAAGAAAACTCAGAACTTTTAAGAACAAAATATGGAGGATAATATGTAGACCAGTATATGATAATGAAAAAAGAAACATGTAGGAGAAAATTATAACAAAGAGCTGCAGGAAGAAATAGATATGGCATCAGTAGTAAGTTTCATTAGAGGCCAAAGGATTCAATGGCCAGGTCGCATGTGCGGCGTAATGAGCACGATATAAACTGGGTAGTCCTGGAATGGAAGCTTACAGGAAAAAGACCTCGAGAACGGACAAGGTAAAGAAGGATAGATATAATGGAAGAGAACTTAAACCGAATGGGAATTCAGGAATAGAGAGAACTTGCTCGGACCAGGGAAAAATGGAGGATTAGCAGTAAAAAGTCTTTGAGTATTAATGGCGAGTTGAAGAAGACAACCAACCACTCTCAGTAATAACAGATTTTTAACAAGCTTTCATTAATGCAAATTTTAAAAAAACACGGGTTAGCAAAAAAGTACATTATAAAATGCAAAATTCGCTCAACATACGCAAATTTTGTCTGCATACGTTCCTTCAGAGCATGTTATAATACCTATAAATGAAAATGAAAATGTTTTTCTCAATTTTTTAAATTATTTTGAGTACTTGAATTAAGATAAAATAAGCAAAAGAAAAATACATACACAACCTAAATTTCCTTTTTTTTTTTTGCTATTTTGAAGGTAATTGTTATAATTTTATAAATCGAAAACATTTTAGAAAATCCAAACTCACTCCCCTCCCTGTATATAAGTCAGTATTCTGAATTTGTACCTAATTTTAAATTTTACTTATTGAATAATTTATAAATAAATACTAAGTTCTCTAAAATGTTTCTAGAAATAAATTTTATACCAATTGTGTAATTTATGTTACAATTGGAAAACAAGTATCTATTTTGAATACTAAAATTTAATTTCGATGTATAAGTATATGTATAATAGTGTAAGAAATTTTCAAAATAAATTGAAGATAAGTTTTTAATATAATAAATATACAACAATTTGTAGAACTTTTGGGGTTGTTTCAAGAAAATTTTGACAAGTTATACATTATTTTATCTTGTTTAATCAATAACAACATTTAGTAATATAATTTTGAACCAAAATATTATACTACTCGAATTATAGAGTAATTAGAACTAAATTTATAAATTTGGTTGGACTACTCTTCATAATTTATTTAACAAACAATGAATACATAGTATATTGATTTACAACACAAATATTTATACATAAAAAATAAAATTGAGATAAATAAAGAAAATTCTGAAGAAAAAAAATACATAATACTCCTATATTTTGGAAAATACAAAGTGGTAATTAATAAGTAACGGACGTACTTTAAAAAAATTATTAATTTCTAAAAACTGCATTGAAACAATAATATATAAAAAACAAAAGATATTGAAGATTACCTGAAAGCAATAAAATATAAATATATTCTTAAATTTTTATATTGAAAGTAATTCTATATTTAACAATGAAAATGGGTAAACATTTTTAAAGGAATTATAAAATTAAATTTAGTGAAAAGAAACATTCAATAAATAATAAAAAATATTTTTTCTATAAAATAATTATTTTTAATTACTAATAATTCGTAAACATTTATATTTACATTTAATATTCATGTATATATATATATATATATATATATTTTTTTTTTCTATACAAATGTCACACTTACAAGTTAAAATCAATGCTTCGGTTCAAAATACATTTTAAGCCTAAATTACATAAAAATATAAGAAATCTGTAATATTAACATTAAAAAGAAAATTAATTAAAGATATGTTTCAAAAATAACATAAACAAGGAATCCATTTTAATAAGATAACAAAAATTAAACAATAACAAACCAGAAGAATATACATTAAGTTTCACGAGTTCAAATCACAGAATACCAATAAAATTTTCATATAATTAACTCTTTTTCACTTAAATCTGACATATGAATTTTATTTTTATAAAATTGGTAGATATACACTAATTTTTTGAAACAATAATGATGGTAGTATTGTAGGGTAACCAATAATTATTTTCAGATATTAAGAAAAATATTGTGTTAAGTATGCTAATTGACATTTTTTATGAATTCAAGATATATAAATTTAAATACTTACAAACTGATATTGCATACTGTAAGTAATAAATCATGCTAAAATAATCACAACCAAATCAGACTTAAAAAAGAATGTATACAAACACAAGAATATTACATGAATCTGGATATTTATTATTCTGTATTGACTATATCATCATTTTCCAAAGGTTCATCCGTCAAATCTTTTTTCTTTTTAACCATTTCAACTATTTCTTTATAACGTGCCATACATTCTTCCTGTAAAATTAATATGAATAATAGTATAATTGTAATATATAAAATATAATAATGTATGTAAATTGGACAAAGATTAAAATTTTATATTATAATTAATTTATATATTTTTATAATTTTTATATCACTTACAAAAATCAAATGAGTATAATGACATAATAACTCATAAATAATCTATAACAAATACATTAAGTAATGAAAAATAAATGCATAAAAAAGAAACAAATGCAAAGTCAAGAATAATTTTAAATGTACTGATTACATTAGATTAGTACTCTTATTAATTTTTTTACTAATTTATTTTAAATTGTAAAATGTACATTAAAATTAAAAGAAATAAGGTGAAGTGTGATAATTGTAATTACATTTTTTTTAGATAAATACTTAAATCTTTATTTTAAACTTACATCTAAAATGATAGTACATATATAAGGACTAGCATTTTTCAATCTAAAATAAATTTTGTTAATTATTCAAAGAGAAAAAATGTATTTACAATTACCCCACATTACTCTAATACAAAAGTTATAATAAGTATTTTAAATAATTTAATTTAAATTATAGGAAATCCTGAAAAACACAAGTTTTATAGAATTAAAGGGTATTAAGGAAATTAAAATTTATCAAAAATATCTTGCTACATGTAATTTTACAAATATATAATTTTAAATACTATTAAATCATTGATTATTTTAGATCAATATACTATTATAGATGCTTTTTTCATTAATTATTTTGGTGTGAGTTAGTCATTTTTAGAATTAAGAAAAAAATTTTATTAATCATTGTAATCTTGAGTAAAAACATAAAATAATTATATTAAATATTATTATTGAATAAAACAAAAAATGTCTTGCTTCATGTGTTTTAAACATTTTTTTTATAATTTATTTAGTCAAAGTCAAGTTATTATACTAAAAATATCATATTGTTATTTAAACATTAAATAGTATATATATTTATAAGTAATAGCTAAAAACTAATAACAACCTTTGGGAAATTTATTAAAAAAAATTTGTTTATCGGTTTATTTGTACAGAATGAGTACATTAATTAAAATATTTAATACAAAAATTAATATAATTAATGATTTTAAAGTTTATTATTGTCATCATAGTAATCTTAAGATTAAGATTTATAGTTATTTAATTATCTGATCACTACCACGGGACAATTGAGTTAGTTATAAAAATGTATCAAATAGATTAATTTCTTCTCACAAGTTAAAATTGAACAAATTTATATACATAAATAGATATTAACAAATAGGGATCGTATAATATTTTTTTAGACATTTTTATTTCTTGTGAATAAAATAAAATAATTTTTTATCATTAACTTTAAAAAAAGATTTAAAATTAATTAGGATATGTTACAATTAACTATTAAAAAATTAATATTTACTTTAGTTTTATCAGGAACACATTTAGCAATTTTTTCCCATCGATTTTCAGTAGATCCTTTTGGATACTTAGTAAGAGCACTCTCTAATGATTTTTGTTGTATTTGATTCCATGCACTGTCTGTTGATTCATTATTATTAACTGCTCTAGTTTTTTTCTTTTTAAATTCTTCAACATTTGGTGATCCTATCATTTCACCAGAAGTGGGAACTTTGTAATTATTTTGTTTCATTTTGTTTGCCATATAAGCGACTTCAGGGACAGGTCGATTCATTGCTTTAGCAACTTTTTGCCACCTGTCAGAGGTACCTGATGGGTATTTATTAACAAGTTGTGACAATTCATATAAATCTTCATCTGTCCATAAACCACCTACAACAGCTGGTATTTCATTTTGATCAGAACTAGATTTATCATGAGTTTCAATTGTAGCATTGTTTTGTTGGCTATTAATTTCTGGCAATTTGTAAGGAGTTTTGCGACGCCTTACACGTTCTCGAATAATGGGTTCTGGTTTATCAAATTCTTCAGTTCTACACAACATAAGATAAGAATAGATAAAATTATGTATATACAATATAAATAAAATTATTTTTAGAAATAAAAAGAAATTACTTTTCTTTGGTATTACGTTCTTTGAATTTGGTAATTAAAAATGAAATTGTGGATGTCGTCAACCATGGTAAATTTATTATCAAAAGCCACAGCCAGTATGGAATTTGGAATGGCAATGTATTTTTTACACTGAAACAAAAAACTAGTTATTTTATTGAAATTGTGATTTATTACAACATCATACCTAGGTTTTGGAATATTAATATCAAATTCAGGAGGTAAAGTTGAATCCCCTCTATATTTTTTTTGTTTTCGCAGTTTTTTTACTTTTGAACTTAAAAGATTCTCCTACATTTAAATACACTTTGTTAAACACAAAATATTGAAATTTAAAAATAAATAATCAATTGTTCACACAAGTTGACAAAATGATTTTAAATAATATAAAATTCAACTTACTACTGTAAGTTTATTTTCAACATAAGAACCCCAAGCTACTAAATATTGTCCTACACTTATGATAGAAAACAGTATCACAAACATCTCTAATAATCCCAATTTACGAACTCTTCTGTAATAATAGAGTGCATGTCTCCAATTTGGTAAACCAGTTTTTAATACTTCATCATAATATTCTCGCTTTTCTGGATCTTTTAATACTTCATGGATAGCAACTAATTCTCGAAATCTTTCATCAGCATCAGGTGACTTATTTCTATCCGGATGTAGTAATAGTGACATTTTTTTGAAAGACTGTCTAATTGTGGTTAGATTGGCATCCTACATAATATATAATAATAATTGATATTAATATAGATATATATATGTGGGTACTATTGATGTCTAGATGGTACCACTTCCAGGGTCTGAATACAAGTAGCGGTATCATCTAGTAATAACATTATGGAAACTTAAATTAAGTTATGTGTGAGTCGACTAAGACATATTAATGTCATTATGTGTGTTTAATTTATATAAGTTTTTTTTTTTTTAATGTTTTATCATAACTTTTGTGTAAATGAATAATAATATACATTATAAATAATATTATAATATCTTTGTTCAATTTCTGTTGTTGTCTGTCGTTTTACACACACATGCATACAAATATATATTAAAAATACTTGGCATACATACCTATAATATATATTATATATTAAAATACTAATTGATATTTAAAAAAATATTTTAAGTTTATTAGCTAGATTTTAATCTAGATAGAGTTAACTTTAGATCATACATTTATAAATATCTACAAACTAAAGCCTAATTAGAATCCTTAGAAATTTGTTTAAATTGAAATTATGCCTAATAGGCATTTAAGTCACTGTTTCGCCAAAATCATTTATTAAATTTTTTTCGATTTTAGAAGTGTAGATACATATCCAATGATAAAACTACTAATGTCTTTTATTTTATAAAAATAGTCATTTTTGTTTGCCATTTATGAGAGAAATAGCGCAAGTTTAGAAATTATTTTATGTTTCTAAAATGACAAGATGTTGTCGATTAAAAATTCAAACAAATTTCTATTGTAATAAATATGATTACATTTCAATTTAAGATACATAAACGTAATCATGCATTCCTCACCACTTTCTTAGGAAGTAGAAAAAGTTATTTTTTTTATTGCAAAATTTCATTTTTTGGACTTCTCAAATGACTCATTAAATTGACTATATTTTCTTATAACTTAATTATCATTGTCAAATTGCAATAGAGATTTGACTCTTCAACCCTCCCCTTATATAATCTGAATACAAGGTCATTCCTTAACTACGCTCATTCAATATCATTAAAACATAAAGTAAAAAAAAATCTTTTTAAGTTTTATATTTTACTATGCATTATAATTTTTATAGAAATATTTAGTTCTATATTTTGTCTTGCTCCTTAAAATTGAACCAATTTGAATTTTTTAAACAACAACATACAGAATGATTCTTTTAACATTAGACACTCAATTTTTCTTGTGATAAAAATAGTAGGACTCAGGTCTCACATCCAGTCAATACTTTGATAAATACTGAAATACTGGTCCAAAATTTTTTATCAATCTGTCATTTTCTATTTTATAAGTTAGGTATATATGTATATTTCCATTTAAATAATTAAAGTTGACATCTCTATAAGACATAAGGGATGAACATACAAATTTTTTTATAACAGATGTGATATGAGGACGGCCAATGTAAGTGTAAATGATGTGGTAGATTGTATCAATTAGAAGTTAAGGATAAGAGTGGCCAACCTCAAGTAATTGGGATAAAGGCAAGGTGAAAGAAGAAGAAGAATAACTTTTTCAATAATGTGTCAAAAGTTGTGAAACTTTGGTAGAAAAAAGTTTTTATTTTACTTTATGTTTATGTATATCTAATTAATTTCATTAAACTAAGATTTCCTATAGTAAGTAATAAGGAGATATTCTTACTTCAGGAACATCTAGGTATTTATAAAAATTGATATTGTTCAATTCTTCAACTGTATCAAAAACTTCAAGTTGTTTAGTTTCCCATCCTAAAATGGACGGTGTTATATTTGCTAATAGGATACAAATTACTGCTAACATTTTTGAGTCTGTAATAAAAAATGCATTTACTTATTTCAATGAACATAAATTTGTTTTTACTTCCATTTACAAGTAAATCTGAGTAAAAATAAAATAATACTTTCTCAATAGCTTATAAATATTTTAAATTCATTCACGTCATATACATCAAGTTAAATGAATAATATTTTAAAGTTTGTATTTATAAATATGAATAATATGTACTGTACTCATATAGTAACTAATTTTTTTTACTGGTTTAACTAATATTAAATTGTAACAATTGTAGAAGTAAAAATCTTAAATTTTAACGAATTATTACTAAGAAAGCAACTAGTAACTCTAATACTCGAGTACAAAATGCAAACTATATGTAATTACAACATATGAAAATATTTAACATAACCATATACTAATATTAACTCATTTAAATTAATACCATGTTCATTGAACATAAAAAACATAGCAAAATTTATCAATATGGTCGAGTAAAAAAGGGTATTTTAACACGGCGACCTATTTTCATTACACGTCATTATATAAAATAGTTAATACATATAACTCACTCATCGTCATTAACTAAATCGTTTATTTTCAAAATCCTTAAAAATGAAGTTGAAGAAGAGAAAAAATTATTTAAATTACATGAGTTTAACGAATCAGCTAAAAACGAACACGTATAATTTTCCGCTGTTGGACAGAGCGGCCGCGAACGTGGCGGTAAACATGAGCCAACTACTTCACGTTTTGCCTAGCAAAGACTGATATCCGTTGACACAGCTGTAGAACTGCCACTGTCACCACTTTTAATCACGAAAGAATGATCAGTAAACCAATCGTAGACGTTGTAAAATATATCGGCAATTCGGCAATATTGTCTGTTAAAAGTACTCACAAACTACATTTGCATAGATCATATGTATACTGTGCGTGTGGCACAATTTTATCAGTTATCAATCGTCAGCTTTAAGCGGTTCAGCAGCAAATATAATGATAATAAGAACTCAAAACCACTATTTACCTCCATAACTTAAGCACCTCAATAAAATTGAGTGTGCATAATATTAAATAAAATTTTAAATATAAAATAAATTTTATTTTTAGTAAACTTCAGTTTTCTGTAAACTTCAGTTCAGTTAAATGGTAATATAAATAATACATATCCAAATTAATGTATTTTTTAAAATTTTATGTAGTAGTAAAACTTAACTCTTTACTAAAGCGGACTGAGAGGTGTTTGGATCATTGTAATAGAAAAATATTTGGCCCGCATAGCTATATTAACCGACCTAATTAATCAAATTTTCTTTTTTTATTTTTATATTTAAAATAATTATTACCTTCTTAGACTATGTTCAACGCGTATTTTTTATTATTTACAACTAATGAAAAAATTAAAAATATATTTTTAACGTAGTCTAAAGAAGTATTAATTATTAAAAAATTAAAACTCAATAAATAATAATTATATCAAAAGTTGTGAGCGTTGTTAATTAATATTGAGACAATCTGTATAATTTATAACTTATAATTCAATATCCCTTTTTAGAAAATTCCAATGAAAATTATTTATTTATTGTCCACAAATGATTTTAGAAAAAAATTTATTATGATAATTTTTATATAAAGTATAATAAGTTGAGTTGTTAAGAAATGAACCGCGAACGAATCAAGTATTTGTGAAATGTTAGACCGGTTAAAAATTTGTCTCATTCTAGTAAAATATGATATGACGCCTCTGGATTAGTCCAAACCTTGAAGATCGACCTCTGAACCAATGAATCATAATAATAATTATTATTATTTTAAGATCATTGTCAGGCATATATTTTTATATAGGCAATGTAGTCACGCTTTTACAGCGTCAAATTTTGGGGGACAGTATTTTTTTTATTGATTATAGTAAGTATGTATTGGAGATCTTTCTTAATGACAATGTAAAAAAATTAGTTCGGGGAGTAGAGGCTTTCTCAACCACCTTATGTAGGGTGGCATTTTTCAGATATCTATTAAATTTCATTTTCCTCTTCTCGAAAATATGATTTTATATAATAATACATGTATTTTTCGAAAATTTAGAAGATAATAGTACTAAATAAGTGTTTATGATATATTGAATGGTAAAACAAGATGATTATAGCCACAAAATTTATATTGTCATTTTTTGAATGTTTAAGAATTCAAAAACAACTATACATAGAAATATTTACTCTATTTATTTGAAAACTTACAATCCAACGACAAATAATATTTTTTTATCACACTCTATAAGTCTGACCAATTAAAAATATGTTTAATTTTTTATTTTTAATCATAATAACTATAATTTTTTTCTTATTTTATACATAATTCTAGTCATTAATTTGTGAAAAAATTAACTAAAATGTTTAATTAACTTCCAAAATTATTATATTCTAAATTTTTAAGTAGGTAATAATACATTTTTAAAAATAATACATTCTGATCACTAATTTTTAATTTTTTATCAATAAAAAATTTAACCCTTTTAATATTATGTCATGATATTTTTAACAAAGCACATCAATTTATTAAAATTATTTCAAATAAACTATCCCGCGCTTACATTTTTGGAGGTAACCATATACTTGGTTTATGGATAATATGTTATCTACGGCAGTTATTTCTTCACTTCGATAACATTCTTTGTTTACTACGCTTTTTGTATAGTGATAGTCGGACACCGTTTTTACATCTTGTTGCAGTAAACAAAAATCCGTCGTATCGTTAGTTATGTCGTTTGCAGTAAGCGTGAGCGTAAAATGTTTTTGGTAGTGTTGTTAAAAAACATTAATCGTGAGCGTTCTGTTTTCCCGTGTTTTAACTAAAAAATGAATTAAAATTGTATAAGTAATTAGTTTTATATAATTGAGTATTTAAGGTTCAATTCTAATACCATTTTAAGATTTCTTGATGAAACTTAAAACCGTTCAAAGCATCTCTAAACGAACAAATTATTATTTTATAAGTTGAAAATAATTTTTTACTTAAAATATATAGTTTAAAAGTTTAACGTTTGTTTTTAATACCATTTATTTTTAAAATAAAGTTTTAATTAAATTAACACCATTTTGATCATGGTTATGATTTTATTCAACGTTTGAATGCTAATAGATATGATATCAATGTTGGTGATGTAAACATAACTTTTAATCATGAAAGTTACCGTTTGTTTTGGTTCAACTAGAGTTATAGTTCCTTGTGGTCGTGGAGAAATATTGGTCAGAGATCTCATTCAACAGGCCATTACTCGTTACAAGAAAGCTACTGGAAAGGTGAGTTTTAGTTAATTATGTATTATTAATCATGTTTAACATCTCCTCTAAAAGCTATTGCTTATGTCAGAGAGGACGAAAAAACCTACATAATTTAGAGTGACATGATCAAATTCTGATACCTAAGCACTGATACATAAAACTTTACTGACTAAACTAGGTAGGCCACCAGTTTTACAATCGTTAACTAATGTATTTTACGGTTATAAGTTATTGGTTTTCAGTATTTTTAAATCATAATTAGTCCAATAAAGTAAAGTCTTCTTTCATTTGAAGTACTAGTTCTACTAATAAAATTTTAATTTTAACATTTTTGTATGTAGAATTATATCATATACTGATTAAAGGTCATTAGTATCTTGATATCAGTAGTAAATAATAAATTTGTAGGTGCATTAAGTTTGGTTTGGTACGCTTGGATATATAGATCTTTTTTACCATGTCTTGATAGGCAATATTTTTATATAAGAAATTGAATATTTTTAGTTTTCTGTAAGATTAGATGGATAATGAATTATATAAATTTAAATCAAATGACTAAGTTTTTAATTATTTTTGAAAATTATATAAACACCATTTTATTATGACTGTGAGTTAGAACTTTGTATAACTACTTTATGCAGTTTTAATTTTGAAAATAAATTAAATTTTAACAATATTTAGTACTTATTTACATTATCTTTCAAAAATATTAAAAATTAAGCGTATAACCAAAGTTTTTGTATGGTTGATCTATTTGAAACCTTAAATTTATAAATAAATATTTGGATAACCCATTGTTTAAGTATTTTCACATTTATTTTTATTCTTCTATTATATTATAACTTTTAATTATTTGAAATTTAAAAGACTTTTGATCTTTTTGTTATATATTTTAATTGATAATATTAGAAGTAGTCATAATATTAAGTATTACTCTTTTATAAAGTTAGATTAAATTAATTTTTTTGTGTACTATTATTTAATTGTTAAAACATAATAAAATATATAAAAATATAAAGGACAATATTTAACAGAACTACAAGCATGAAAATTTGATGATTCACTATCAATTTTGCCTAAATTCAACTACAAAATTAAAAATAACTAAGTGTGTACTAGAGTGTTCTCTATTTATATATCTAATAATCAATAAAATCTATATATTTAGGTTTAATTAACCATTAACAAAAAGTAGCCCTAATTTCTCACATTTTATTAATCTTTCAGATTTTTATATTATTATTATATTTTTAATCTCTTATATTTCATGAACTAATTAATAAAAAACCCAGCATAGTGGGAACATGGCATAGTTGGGTCTAGTATAGAAGATATCTGACTGTGATTAAAATCACTATCATAAAAGACGCTTCGATGCAAATCTGTAGATAGTGTTTAATTTTAAAAAAATTGGTAAATTATTCCAAAAGCAACATTATCCCCTATTTTCTTATTTATATTCTAATTACAAGTTTTATGATTTATAAATGAAATATATGAATATATATATATATATATNATATATATATTTATAATATGTAAATATATAAAGGAAAATGGTTTTATTTAAAAAGAAGTATGTTGCATAAAAGAAGAATATTAATAGTACTTATCTTAAAAAATTTATAATGATCCATACATTTTTCAAAAAGTTATAGTATTTTAAAGTTCAAAATATAAAAAAGAATTTTTTTTATTAACTTTCATGTCCTTTTTCATCATGAAAAAAAAATAAAGTTCGAAATTTTTTTTCCCATAATGAAGTATATTAAATTAGCTTTAATTTAAGATATATATATATAAAAGTATCAGAGTTTCCGATTCACTATCAAAAGTTAAATTGAAAAATTTGTCATTTTTAATCCCCCTGTAGGCAGGTAAAGGATGAGATTTATAAAAAAAATATACCAAATGATATGTAAAGATATCATGCATCTATAAAAAAATATTATATTGATTTTGTCATTTTTGAAAAAGTTATGGCAGTTTTAAGTAAAAAAATTTTTTTTGGAGATTTCCTCCATTTACGGAGAATGAGGGAAATTTTTTTAATTTTTATGGGTAATGTCTTTGACTAGATACAATTTGTGATCTTTTGACGTATCCTTGAAACAAGTCGGTTCGGTGAAAGCTGAGAAAAAGTGGTAACAGACGCAAAAAAAAAGCACATCATAATAAAATTAATGCCTTCTTAGCTTCTCATCAAAGTCAATATCAAGATAGTAGAATCGAAATAGGATTTTCTTAATAATATTAATATTACTTGCGTTTACATCAGGTGAAGTTACAACTAAAGTTTTTTTTTTAATGAAATCATTAAATTATGTATAAAAAATATTCCTTATTCTATCTTATGTGTATAAATAGTGTATTAATTTGGAATTTATTATCAAAGAAACTCATTATGAATAAATATATTATGAAAATTAAATTTAATGTAATAAATGTCAGTTAAAATTTTTATTTTCTTTCAACTGCTTAGGTAAATTTGTGTTTATTATTTGTTCATAACATAACATGATAAATAAAAAAAGTTTAATATTTTTTAATCGGGTCAAAGCATAAAAAAAATTTATTTTGTTTTGTTCCAACAATTAAATAAGAATTTTTTTTTTTAACTTGGTTAATATTGTTGTGGTATAATTAA